TGAAATAACACCTACTAAACAATAACACTCACTAAACAATAACTCCCATTCCCACAGGCAACCAATACTCTACTTTCTATCTTTATGAATTTTACTACTCCAGGGACCTCATATAAGTAGTGGAATCATACCAATATTTGTCTTTTTATGGCTGGCATATATCACTTCAAAGTTCATCTATGTTGTAGCCTGTGTCAGAATTTCCTTTCTTTTTAAGGTTCAATAACATTCCAATGTATGTATATGCCACATTTTGTTTATCCATTCATTGGTCAATAAAAGTTTTTAAAGACTGGTTGTAACTTAATAGAATAAAACTCACAAAATCAGTAAAGTGCCTAAAGAAGACAGCCAATGTTTTCAGAGTTATTTCTCACTTTCTCATGAATAATCAAGCTTCATTAAGACTTTTAAAAGTCAACAGTCTGGTTTTAAAAACAACAACAACTGGGAGTTGAACTTCTTAGTCCTTTTTGATATACAATACATGATATTATAGCTTCAGTTTTCTCATATGTAAAACGAGGGGACTGAACCCTTTCTATTATTTCGTGAATGAGAGTATCCAGGAAAGGAGCAGGGATGCCAGGTGCTTTCAAGTCCTAATCCTTGATGGAAGCATTAGTTCCATTTTTACAAGTGAAGAAACTGAGTCTCAGAGTCATTAAGTAGGTTACCTTTAGTTATATAATATACTCAGTAAGTGGCAGACTTGGGAAATCTAAATCATTTTTATTCTAAAGTTTACACTCTCCTCTCTATATACTGATACCTCTAGTCAGTGAAAGACAGAAGATGTAAGACCAGGAGATGAAAAGCACCTAAAACTCATTTAACACTACTGATTAAGTGCAATTATGTTGACACCTGAAAAAACTAGCCCATATAAGTGGTTTCCCCCATGTTCCTGTGGCTACTTCAGGAAACAGAACTCCCCCCACCACCCCCGCCCCCAGAACTCTAGGTAAGCTTCACTTCAACACAGTAGCTCTGAAACGAAATATTTAAATTATTCGGATGGCATTTCCACAACAGACACTTATCTCTGGGAACACAGGAAAAGTCAGCTTAATATTATTGTACTACTCATTCACAAGGTCAGATTGTATTTCTGACCTTGTTAATATAGATATTTTTTAGAGGTAACCTTGTCTTTACTTATTCTGAAACAAATTTCTAAAGCATAATATAATTCATTTTATAAATATAAAAATGTGAATATTTTTGAGCAATACAGAATCATTCAAAAACTTTTCTTACTTTTAGGAAATTAGTCATATGTTTTCTTCTCATCTACAGTGAAGAAAACGAATCTATCCCATTTAGAGTATCAACCTGTCTACACTCAAATCTGAAACATTTATATTACTCATTTCTCCTTAAACTATGTGAATTTAATGCCATGCAAGCAAATCATTTGATAGATAACCAAAGCCTAAGATATATGCAATAAATATGGTTTCTCCTTTCTATGACCTATGATTTTCAGGGGAATGTGTATAGACAAACCACAAATGTTTGGCAAAAGACACATGTTTCATGCACTTTCTGATAAAAAAATAAATAAAAACAAAAGACCCTGGTCCACAGTTTCACAAGGATGGTGAAACATTTGACAAGTATGGGCAATCAATAAACATTTTCTGAGCATCTTCATTAACAGCACTGGAATAGGCACTGCATAATATTAAAAATTTTAATAAATATTCAAGTTCCACAGGTGTTTTTAAAACTATCTGAAAAGATCTTTTCTCACAAGCAAAAGCAAAAATAAAACTTTCTGCTAGGGAACAATTTTAGACAGAAATCACCCTTTTCTTCAATTCACAGAGAACTGAACAGGTAAGTACAATAAAGATATAACCATACCATTTCTCTTCTGCAGATATATCAGAGGTCTATTCATAGACAATTGTGTATCACAGCAAAGGGGTTTATGTGACATGTTCCTACTCTTACATTGCCAGAATCCATTTATCAGCATACTTCAAGGGCATATAGAGTTTACTGCCTATACAGTAAAAATATTAAAATGATTAACTCAAGCCTCTTCCCTACAGTAGTATTACAGAAATACCCAACTTTCAAACCAATTTAGCCTTAAATGCTGTCTCTAATACCCTTGATGATATTTACAATATATCCCCTAAGAAAGATTCTGCAAATCAATTTCTTTCCCTGATATAAAGGTCATCCTCAGAAAATGGAAAATTATAACCATAGGTTGATTGTTATAATTACCAAAATGTATAAATAATGGAAAATGGGAAAAAGAAGTTTCAAAAATATAGTTAAGATATACTCCTTCACATTTTAAAGCCAAGGTAATATACACTATTTAATGTCATGCATGAACTTGAAAACAAGTTTTACTTTTACTATTTAATGATCCATAGAAAAAGGGATTGGGGTGGGGGGAGGTTAGGCCTTATAGAACTCTAATATGATATAAAGAACCATTAAGAAATTCTCACTGTTGACTACCTCAAAGTATTACAGTTGCTTTGGAAAGAGAAAAACTTACCAAGCTAAATTCTATAAACTAAAGTGTTAATGACTTGCAAACTGCCATATTTGGTCAGTCTTTGCACACAAAGAGAAACATAGCTGTTAGGGTCAACAAGAGAGGTTACAATGTAAGTTTAAATGTCTATCTAATATTGTTTTGACTTACAAGTTTTCTAAAGAATAATGATCTGAGGATGATCAGAAAACAAGAGGGCAGGAGGGACAGAACAAGGTAACCAAATTATTGCAAAATGAAACAGCTGTTAAATTGATACACTGTTTTGTGTTTTTTTTCATATATACCAATGGACATGACTCTTTATTTTAGCCTTGGATTTTCTTTCTTTAGGACCTAACTATGGAAAACCAATAAAACAAGGCAATTACATACAAAGCACCTAAATGTCATGCCCAACTATGAGTTATCTATGTTGGTTAAATTAGTATGTCTTTAATATTTGAGTTTTATCACCAAGAAAGATGATATGAGTTTTATTCATTTATTCCACATGCTTGAAAACGTTAATGATATCTGATTATATTGAAAACTACACAGATATTATAGGCAGCCTATGTCAAAACCTCAGCACACTCAACAGCAGCACCAATTTAAATGAATTATTTTCTGAAGCCTGCAGTCAACGGTCACTTGTTAAAACAATTACTGTGAAATGATGAGACCTTCAAAGCAGGCTTTATTTTAGCTGGACACATTCTCAATAAAAGACAATGACTTCTTTAAAAGAATCTGGGCTGCAAAGTCTAGCTGGAAATATACTCAATAAAAGACAATGACTTCTTTAAAGAATCTGGGCTGTAAAGTTGATATATATTTGTGGAAAATCATGTCACCCTCATGTAAATAATATGCAGAATACACTTCTTTTAATATGCAGTAGAAAAGATAAGCAGGTGCCTTCACTTTTACAGTATCACTAAATTACCTCTTAATCCAGATTAAGCACCTGTAAACTGCTAATAGAACACCATGCCAAAAAAGGCCAAAATGTGTATATAGTTATAGGTTAACTATCCAGACAAATATATACCTTAACACCAACGAGTTAATTAACTGTAAACTGAATTATAAAACTAAAACAACAAAAAGGAAATGTACCAAAAAATAGCAACAGTTCAATTACAAATTTGAGTTGATACATCCTATTAAAGCCACTTATGAATTTTAAATGTTACCCATACAAATCAATCATGGATTCAAAATTTACCAATGCAAACTGAGTTCTACAAAGCAAGATCACAAAGAATTCTCTCCCTTATTCATTTGCAGTTTGAGTAAACACTACTTAAAAGCCTTCAAAATATATAAAACAGCACTCTCCACCAACAGGTCCTCTTTTTTTTTTAAGTTAAATGTGCACTTCCTTGGCAACTAAGCCTTTTTTCAACTACTTTTCAAACATCAGTTTAATGTGACACAGTTCAAGTCACCCTCCATTGTTTTTTACTTCCTAAATAAACAAAGCAGCTGGAAACACACACACACACACACACACACACACGTATGTGAATACAGGTGTTTATTAGAGTGAAAATAACAAAATAATTATGAAACCTATCCCTGGCAGTTTTTTTTTCCCCATTGATAAAAATAGCAAAAGCTAAAATATCTCACATTCAAATTGGAACAGGATTTTGAACTAACGGAGAACGAGTAGTGTGAGTACCAGTATCACGATTACTTTTGCTTCCAATATAAATTAAAAGAATCCCCGAGTACCCCTAGTATGGAAATGCCTGTAAAAGCAGGTGCAGACGGTAACAGTCTGAATGATACTGACCAAAGTACTACCAGGCAATGGACAGCGAATTCCTGGAAGTCTGGTTATTTTCTGGCTTAACACCTAAAACCCTGAAGTTTGCATCCACAGCAAGGAAGTATTGGGAGCAGATATTTAAAGAAGATGGGGCGAGTGGGATGCCGCAGACACTTGAAGTTTAGGCGGGGAAAATGAGATGGTAAGGCCAGCACGAGATGGCAGATCCACACAAGAAAGCAAGTCTTTCAAATGAGTCACAGCCCAGGAAGACTGGCCGGGGCCGAGGCCAGCCTAAGTCTGATACGGGCCCTGGGGGCAAGAGGGAGAAACTGAGGCGGAGGAAGAGGCCAGATGCCCACACAGGACCTGGCCCAAAACATTAAAGTCAAAAGCCAAACCGGCTTTGCTAGGGGCCCAGAGGGGCAGCCACAAGTGTAAGACTCTGCAGACAGACACCCACCCAAGACAGGGGGAACCGGTTTGGGCAGGGGCGCCGAGAGCGTTCCCACCTGCGCATGCGCCCTCTCCCCTCCGCCGCAGCTTCCCCTCCCCCCAATCACAGCTCCCCTCACAACACGGCTCTTCGAAGGAGCTGAACGCAGTCTCGCCGGCCCAGGCCCGCGGGATGGGAACACAGGCTGGCTCCTCGCAGAGGATACCCCCTGGCTTGGTAGAGGGAAGGTGGGAGGAGGAGGAGGGGAAACGCGGCCCTACCCGACCTGCCGTCTCCTCCTCCACCGCCTGCCGTTCGCCGTCCGGGAGGCTTCGTCGCCTGGGCCTCCCTAGCTGCCCAGCCCCCGTCTTCCCCGCCCCCTATTCACGTGAGAGCGGCTTTTTCCGCTCTCTGCCCGCCTCCCGCCCCGTGCCATAGGTCCGCGGCTGAGCCGCGCCGCCCCATTGGTCCAACAACAAGCGGCGAGGGCGTACTTCCTCTCCTCGACGCCCCACCTGGGCTTTGAGCCCGCCCCTAGTCTGCGCCTGCGCGGGGTCTACACTGGCGACAAGCCCTGTGGCCGGTGGGCTTGGACAGGTAGTGGCTGTGTGGCTGAGCAGGGACTGGAAGCAGGACGGGGATGGAGGGATTAGGAGGGAGCGGGAGAGGAAGCAGGCTGCTAGCACCTTTTGAGCAGGGAATCTTCTGCTCACCTTTCACGTTGAGTACTTCTTCAAAAGCAGCGCTTAACAGTGTTAGTTAACGCACCTGGCCTTTATTGAGAGCGCACGAATGTGCCAAGGATAGTGATGGGTCCCGGATATCTTATTTGGCTTTACTACAAACATATGAGAACCTGACTTTTCTCGTTTTACAAAGGAGCCCAACCTAAGTTAGAGAATTAAGTCTAGAAGTAAAACTTGTGACTCTCTGTCCAAGGTCTTGAGCTTATTATTAGAGGCACGCAGAATAGCACAGAAATGAACAAGGTTGTTTCAGTGTTAATCGAAAATGCGGCTGGAATTTTATTTGAAAATCATTCAAAAGTAGACTATGGAGCAACGACAATGTAAAGTATGGGGCGCGGCTACGGTGTTTTGGCTAGGATCAAGCCTCGGACTAATGAAAGGACAGGGTCCTCTCATTGCCATGTGCAAGTCCCAGCTGGAGGTCAGGGCCCTCCCAGCACAATCATAGCCAACGGCTGTGGTAGTAAGCCTGAACCTATGGTCCAAACACGTGGCCCCGCGTGCCTTGTGCTAGAGTTCAGGTGCATGTAGTTGAGTGAGGTTGGAACTCACAAGAATGCTGTAAACAAAGTGATCACACCCCTACTCGTGGCATCTGCTATAAAATAAAGACAGGGCTTGTGGGTGCTGGCGCTGTCTCCTCATCAGGGAGCAGCGTCCCACCGAGACCCAGCTTTCATTCTCTTGTCTGTCTTTCCTTAATCCTTTCACCCCCCCTCCCCACTCAGTTTACCTTTGGCTGCAACAGTAAAGAATTTTGAATTCCCTGTCCTGAATAAGTTTACAATGTAGTTGGAAATAAAAACAATGATTAAAGGTGCTATTTCAGTCTTGATAATTTATAATTCTACAACCTCTTCCTTACTCTTTGCTTTTAATTCAAATAGCATATGCTCTTTTCCTGGTGAATGACTCATTCCCAATGTTTTCCTGTGGATACTGAATCGAGATCAACCAGAGAAAAAGCTGTTCTGTTACAGTCCTCTTTGTGACTTGTCTGTCACAATAGACTAGCTAAACTCCCTCAAGAAATAGTTCTGTTCCTTTTCTCCTTATACACTTATATAGTAATAATACCTATTTAAAAGATACAGTATTAGGAAGAAAGTAAAATGTCTTGAACCCAATATATATGTAAACCTTAAGAGAAAATTTTGAGACAAAATTTTATTTAAAATGTCCTGAACCCAATATATATGGTAAACCTTAAGAGAAAATTTTGAGACAAAATTTTATTACAGAATAGTACATCTTGGAGAAAAATACACACACGCTAAAATAACAAATAAAAATATCACATTCCCACCACCAATGTTAATACTTTAATACATCCTTCTGTGTCAACATAGTTTTTCAAAATGAGGTCACAGTATAGAAATCTACTTTAGTCAACGAACAACATATACATTATTTCAGTCACTTTTCCTCTCATATAATTCCTAGATCATATTCAAATTTTATATCAACCTAACAATGTTTTTCCTGTTGGCTTTCCCAAATCAGTAATATTTCAGTAAATCTTCCTCTCATTTAATACCTAACTATAATCAATTTTCTGTTACCTGCAATACATTTTTTAACAGCTAGTTTTCCCAAGTTAGTATCAAATCCAGGGCCACATATTGCTTCTAGTAGTGTTCCCAAGTATTTCTTAATCTAGCCCTTAAGAAAAAAATTTAAAGGCATTGGCTTATTAAAGAAATTAGACCACTTTAAGCTCCTTCTGAATCCAAATATTTGCTTCCTCATCACTGAGTTTGTTCCTCTCCCAAGCATGTCAAACTCGGCTGACATGTCAAACTCAAAGACTAACATGGGCCAAATAAACAAGATTTAAGTTAATGTGGGCTGCAAAAAAACAAAGCTTCAATTTTCATAGAAACATAGGTTTATTTCGATAGAGACATGCTGAATACAAAGGGCTGAAATAAATGAGTAATCGTTAACAAAATAATAGAACATTTTAATAAAAATTAATATTTTTTCTTGAACATTAACTTACCAGACACTGAATAACTGCACAAATAAGCGCAACGCAAATAAACCTATTTTTCTTGTTCTCCAAAAGTGAAATATTTCCTGTTGTGCACACCAAACAAGTCAGTACAAGGCTAATGACATGGCAATCAACTGCTAAAATATTCGCTGCTAGTATTAGTGGAGAGAAATGGTGCACCTGCAGGTAAGGCAAGTAAGGGAAATGAATGCAACATGTTTACAGTAATCAGTCATTAGCAAACGTTGTAGTTGGTTATTAATAATTATGTATAACAGGATATTGTAACAAGTTACAAAATTTTTATTAAAATGTTTCTTACATACAATTATATTAGCTGGGCCACAAACATATTCGTTGTGGGCCACATGCGGCCCGCAGGCCTTGAGTCTGACATGCTTGCTCTAGACCTTGTATTTCCTTGAGATATGATTTCTAGTTATATCTCAAGTTTCAATGGATTGAAGTCAAACATTTTGGGCTAGCACATACCATAGGTAATATTTGAGATATGATTTCTTCCCCCCGAGTGCACAAATTTTTGTGCACCGGGCCTCTAGTATGTCATATAATACAGAACTCAAGTATTTGGAGAACAAGGTTCTTATTTCCTATCCTGGCTCCAGCAAGCACGCTTGAATGTAAAGATGATTGCCTGCCACAACCTGAAGGGGTAAGAGATGGTTAGGTGTTATCACACTGAAGACTGACACTGAAATGAACCTCAATTTACCAACCAAGCCTTCCCCTGGAAAATGCAAGTTTTCAAATAGACTCCAGAGTTCCAAAATAGTTACTTGAGATTCTGCCAGGACAATTGTTATCTAGATAGAGAGATGAGTTCCTTGCACTTCCTACTCCATCTGAGGAACAGAAAAAGAAAAACAGAAAGAAAAATGAACAGAGGCATAGGGATCTATTGGACACTGTCAAGAGAAACAAAATACCCCTGTGGGAATCCCAGGAGAAGAGAGAAAGGGGAGGAAGAATAATTATCAAACTGTAGCAAGCCAAAGAAAAGAATCTTGAAAGTAGCAAGAAAGAAATGATTAATCACATACAAAGGACCCTCCGTAAGATAAACAACCAATTTTTCATCCTAAACCTTGGAGGCCAGAAAGTAGTGGGTTGATAATATTCCAAGTGCTGACAGAAAAAAAAAAGTGTTGACAAAGAATTCTTTATCTAGCAAAACTGTTTTTCAAAAATAAGGGAGAGTCCAGCTGGTGTGGCTTAGTGGTTGAGTGTTGACCCATAAACCAGGAGGTCATGATTCCAGGTCACAGGTCCAGGATGTGGGCTGGATCTCTGGATCACTGGTGGGAGGCATGCAGCCGATCGATGATTCACATCATTGATGTTTCTCTCTCTCTCCCCATCTCCCTTCCTCTCTCTGAAAATCAATAAAAAGATTTTTTTTTGAATGAGGGAGAAATTAACAAATTCCCTAATTTTAAAAAAAGTCAAAGGAGTTTGTTACTGTTAGTTACCACTGAACCTGCCCTTCAAGAATGCTAAGGGGAATCCTTCAGGTTGACCTGAAAAGACACTTGACAGCAACTAGAAGCCATAGGAGGAAATAAAGATCTCCTTTCAGTGTCAATACATGGACAATTATAAAAGCAAGTATTACTGTAATTATTACTTGTAGGTACATTTTTTATTTTCTCCATGACTTAAAAGAGAAATGCATAAAAATATTAATCTATATTATTGGACACAAATGTTTAAAGATGCAATTTATGACATCAATAATAGGAAGAGAGGACAGAGCTGTACAGTAGGAGTTTTTGTATGGTATTGAAGTTGGTATCAATTCTATTAGAATGTTATAACTTTGGGCTATTAAATGTTATTCTCACGGCAACCACAAAGAAAATATCTATAGAAAACACAGAAGGGTATGACAGGTGAATCAAAACATAACAAAAATCAAATAAACACAGAAAAAGGCAATAATGAAGAAAATGAAGGCACAAAAGCTATAAGGCCTATAGAAAACAAATAGCAAAATGGCAGAAAGAAATCCTTCCTTATCAGTAATTACTTGAAATGTAAATTGCTAAAACTCTCCAATCAAAAGACAGATGGGCAGAATAGATTAAAAAACAACCATGATCCAACTATATGCAGTCTAGAAGAGACTCCCTTTATTTTTTAAATATTCTTTTAAAAAATATGTTTTTATTGACTTCAGAGAGAGGAAGGGAGAGAGAGGAACATCAATGATGAGAGAGAAACATCACTGATTGGCTGCCTCTTGCATGTCCCTTACTGAGGATCAAGCCCAAAAACAGGGCATGTGCCCTGACTGGGAATCAACCATGACCTCCTGGTTCAGGGGTCGATGCTCAATCACTAAGCTACACTAACTGGGCTAGAAGAAACTCACTTTAGATCCAAAGACATTAATTAGTTGAAAGTGAAAGGATAAAATAGAAGATATTTCATGTAAATAGCAACCAAAAGAGAGCTGGGTTGGTTATACTGAGATATGCAAAACAGAGATGTAATTTTTTTTTAAAGGTTACAATAACAAAAGTAAATAAATAAATAAATAGGTTACAAGAGACAAAGAAGGTCATTATATATTAACAAAAGGTTCAATAAAGCATGAT